AGGTAGAGTTGTTCGGATAAATCTTCTACCTATAAAAATCCTACCTTCTTCGATGTCGCTGCATAACTTCAAGTCTTCGTTCTCGTTCCAAATCACGAATCTAATTCATCAAGAAGAAACCATTAAAAAAAAAATGTAATAATACAGGGCGTGAAATTGATTTTTTTTTCTGATAGCCACTTGGCTCCTAAATTATTCAAAGTGATAGCCAATTCAAAAAAGTTGGTCGCCATTTTCAAAGACAAACAAACCCTTTTTTTTACGCTGTCATCGTTCTAGAAATTAAGTTAGGGAAAAGATCTTTAACGTGCTACAAAGTGGACAATAGAATGGATGATATGCAACGTTCAAGCTCACCTAAATCCATCCTAAATCTAGTTATCGATTGAGATGCATGTGCTGCGTTTTGGAAACAAACTTAATGAGGAAGTTTGCCGCGGATTTATCTTTGCAAATCTTTTTAATTTACTATATTTCTAAGTAAGGTTATGATGAAACATTCTAGTCGCCAATTTGGCGACTAATTTTCAGGATTTGGTCGCCAAAGTAAAAAATTTAGTCGCATTGGCGCCTGTATTAGGCGCAATTTCACGCCCTCTAATAGTGGTCTGAAAAGGAGCTAAAAAAACAAACAGGAAAGCACTGAACGTTTTGGGGCTGCTATAACAAAATACCATGGTGTAATTCGCAAATCATCTGGTACGAAAATTATTATAGTTTTATCGTAAAAGTGAATTTTACCCTTCGTTCTGCCTCTTCGTCAAGCCATCTTTGCCTAAGAATAAAAATTATATACAGTTACAGGAAGAATTTGATTCAATATGGTCAAATTTAAAAACATGTATTGCCAGACTTTTAGGAAAACAGATTAAACACTTGCTTTCTATGAAGTCAGTATTCAAAGCCAGTCATCCTGGTCACACTTGAGACAAAGAAATATCACACTTACGTAGAATAATGAAAGTCAAGGCTCAAGATAATGACATGACAATGTGTGCGCATACATACATGGCGACAAAATTAAAAAGCTATCTTCCTTGGTCTCGTTTGAAGTGGTGACACGTCAGGAAAAAGGGCGTTCAGTAAAGGAGCCGAAATAGCAACGAAATGAGAAAAGAAGGAGGAAGTTTAAGTCGGGTCGCGTAAAGAGAGCCTGTAGTTTTTTCATCCCCTCTGATAGGTCCAGTTTGACAGCTGCTGTCAACATTGAAGTCCATGAGCAAAATGGTCCGAAAAAATATGGCGAATTAACGACTCATCCTAATCCTCCGCCTTTTTCGCTCTGTGCTACTATTGCGCCCCACTATGTGTGAAGCAGGCCTTTGCTGCCATGATCTTTCATTCAAAAAGAGCCACTGAGCGTCCTATCGGCCGTCAAATCCTATTGGGATTCACTCACCTGGCCACCTCTCTTTCTATCAGCTCCTGGTCAGTTGGAAGATGTCTACGGAAATACTTCGGACTTGTTGGACTTTGTAGCTACTCAAAAGATATGAAGAAAACCAACCATTAACTGTAAGGAAAAGGAACAGTTGAAATTCCTAATTTTGT